GCAGTGATGTTTCAACATTATTGTTAATATCGGTGTTAGTCAAAAATGGTTCCAGCGGCACTGTTAGATGCTTCTTGCACCTGACCGGTGTTTGGTAATAGTCGCTATACTAAAAACACAACAATTTGTGTTCTGTGTTCTGTGATAGTTCCGGGAGTAGTGGCGTTCTTCGCTGGTTTGCTGAACTTCCTCCTCGTGGTGCCAGCTGGATGGTTCTGGATTATCCCGTTCCATCTAAAGTTCAGCTGCAGTGTTCCAGAGAGTGGTGGGTTTTCTCCTGGCAAGCGTCTTCCATATAAAAAAGCCACATTTGTCCGTTTAACAACACTGCGACTTGGCGGATGTGACTCGCCACTGAATAAAATCACCGCCCCTTGTTTCACCTCACTACAGCATGGTAGTCATTCAGCTTCCCGCTGAATTACTGGGAGTATTGGGCCCCTGTTCGGCAGCCAGCCAAACCAAAGGCGTATGAACCGAGCAATCGGTCAACGACTCCCAATGGACGTTATTCCCCAAATTTGTCCCACTGCCTTGTGGGTCAAGTATCTATGACCAAAGTCTCTCCTTGTGGGGCCTCCTTAGTCAATCCTTTTCCGTGGCCTGGGCAACCGGGAAGCTGTATGTCCACACAACACATAAAATGATGGATGTACGACTCTCTGCTCATGTTCCTCGCTCTCTGAACTCTCTCTCTCTTTGGCCAAGGTGCTGGCGGCCGGGCATGCCAAACCTCACACTACCGCACCGCAAACCACATCCTTCATTTCATGTTTATTCAACTCTTCTGTTCTTGTTAACCCCCCTCCAATTTCGAGCCTCCCAAAGTGCAGTACAAATAACAGCGGTACCTTTGGCCTCATCAATGGACCGCTTAAAACCCATCGCACAAATTCCAATGCCAACACCAAGGCTTTTATTGCACCGCGCTCGCCCTTCAAGCTAGCTATGTTCAATGTTAAAACGCTCATACAGGATGATTCAAAAACTGCTCTTGCGCGCAGCTTGGAAACCCTATCAATCGACGTTTGCTGCCTAAGCGGAACCCGTTTACAAGACTCCTGCACAACGCTGCGATTGCTGTCACCCTCGCCAAGTTTCAATTGCACATTCACCTTGTGCTTATCTGGAGATGCAGCAGTGGCAGCACCTGGTGGCGCCGGTGTAGGAGTTGCGTTAAGCGCGTCTTAAGGCAGCGGTCATTGACTGATTCCCAGTCAACATCCGTCTTTGTGTAGTCCGCTTGGAAAGCTCAGTGCAACCTTCCAACCACCGGACAAGTAGGAGCTGCTTAATCATTGTGGCAGCGTGCGTTCCTACGGACTGCTGCCCGGACGGAGCTAAAGACGAGTTCCATCGACAACTCACCGACCTCCCACGCAAGAAACACAGCACGGACATCGTGATACTCGCCGGAAATCTAAATCTGTAACGCTAGAGTAGAGGTTCATGAGCGCGAACTTCGGGGTCAACACAGTCACGGTACTCGTAGGGCGGACAACGGCGCTCGACTCCTGCAACTGTGCGCCGATCACGGCTTGTTCCTTTCCAGAACCAATTTCCGAGGTTCCTGGCGCCAACAAGCCACCTGGTGACCTCCGGCGTCTGGTCAACCTTGGACGCAGATTGGCCACATCGATGCTAGTTACCGTTGGCGAGGCAGCATAACGGACTGCAAGTCAATATGGAACACTTATCTGACTTCGGATCATGCGCTCGTGTGTGCTATGTTCGTTCTGCGCTTTGGAGGCACCCAACAGCGTCGACGGAAACGGTTTGACACAGACAAGCTCGCCATTCCAAATGTTCACGCCGCATTTCAGAACACATTAGCCTCCAATCTACTTTCTCTATCTTCCGATGTTGAGACACACTGGGTACAGATTCAGAGTGTCTTACGAAAGTCCGCTACCCTGATCTGTGGCTTCACTAGACGAGCTGTTAGTCATTGGATCTCCGCACAGTCTCTCCAATTAAAGGAAAGTCGTCGAACTATTCCAGCCGGAGTTGAGTACAATGCACTACACAGAACCACAGGTACTGAGCTCAGACAGCTCCTCAGGAAGGATCGCGAAGCTTGCTGAATACAGTACGTTATTGAGATGGAGCGGGCAGCCTTGTCAGGAAACCCGCAAACTCTTTTAATTTCTTCGCTCCACGGGAGACAGAAGGCCAACAATGAGTGAGGTAATGTGTGAAAATGACGGTGAACGAATTCAAAATCGTCGCCGCCGTCTGGTACAATGGGCAGAGCACTTTGATGATCAGTTCAACTGGCAACCAGCGCAACCGAGTCCATCTTCCGGGGTTCGTAGTGCTCCCTGGTGCGTGAATGTTTCCTCACCGACTGAGGATGAGGTTTGCTACGAGCTACGCCTACTGAAGCGTCACAAGTCAACTGACTCAGGTGAACTTCCTTCTAACCTCTTCAAACATGGAGGTCCTGTTCTTACTCGTGAATTGACATCTCGCTTACGTCAGATTTGGACTAATGAAACCATTACATCCGACTGGAATTTAGCGGAGGTAGTATCACTTTACAAAAAATAGGCTGGACCATTTGCTCCAACCGTTGTGGCATCAGTCTCATTTGTGTCGCATCCAAACTGCTCGCTGCCCTACTGTTGCGGAGGCTCAGTTGCGTACAGGAACAGCACCTGCGTCAAAAACAAGCTGGATTTCGTCCGGGTCGCAGTTGCGTCGATCACATCTTTACGATCCACCGGATACTTGAACATCGCCATACCTTCAGTCGACCAACTATAGTCATATTCTTGGACATTCGAGCCGCGTTTGCCTCTGTTGACAGAGTGTCTCTTTGGGACTGCTTACTGAAGAGGGGAGTACCTGAGAAATACATCAGCTTTTCCAGGCCAGTTACCACCAAACTTCGGGCCGCGTGCGAGTATATGGAGACATGTCGCCCCCTTTCAATATCACTAGCGATGTTAGACAGAGTTGCCCAGCCTCTCCATTCTTGTTCAACTTCGCCATGGAGGAGATCCTGAATACTGACCTGGAAAACTCTGAGTCCTGCGGCTTTGAACTGTTCCCTGGTGACTGCCTTCGGGACTTAGAGTAAACCGATGACATCGCTGTGATTTGCGAGTCCTCCCAAGCCGCCAAGTATTTGCTGCTTTGACTGGAGATGTCCGCCTCCTAATTTGGGTTGACCATTGACCCTTCTAAATATAAGGTCCTGTGACAGTACTGGCCAAGTTTATGTCCTTCTCTCACCTTTTCGGGGCATTCGCTGGAAGTGGTCGACTAATTCATTCACCTTGGAAGTTGTCTTAGTATTACTGATTTGACGGATGAGATCTCCCTGCGTGTCTCCAAGGCTAGAGTAGCTTTTGCTAACCTTCGTCACCTGTGGCTCCGTCATGACTTCATCATCGCTCGAAAGGGATGAATCAACAATGTCACAGTACGAGCGATTCTGGCATGTGCGACTTGGCCTATTCGCAAAAGCGATATTTAGCAGCAATCTGTATATCTGACTATCTATCTTCTGGCAGCGAAGCATTGCTGGCGTTTCATGGCAGCATCACATCAATAGTGAGGAAATCCGTCTGCGAGTCTTCAGATCTAACGAACTCCGCCGACCGATTGATAGCATTCTTTAACTGCGGAGACTTCGCTGGGTTGGGCGTGTGCTCTCCATGTCTACACAGCGGCTACCGCGCCGAGCCATATTCGCGAGCACAGGTGTAGAGTAGAAGCGACGAAAAGGCGGTCAACGGTAAACTTGGATCCAATGCGTTAAGGCGCAATTGTTGAAGCTGACTGTTGTTTGGCGTTCCTGACTCCCGGGTTGGGGACCAAAGGACCCCGTGCACATCTGGTTGCAAACGCCAGTGGAGATGGCCAAGGAACTTACGCAATGACGCATTTGCTATGAGATTCTTCGACCCTAACAGTTGTTTTCCATTTCAATCTAGTTTTTCCTCGTATGTGTTGTGGCACTCAGCCAATTGTATGGTAAGTGGTAGAGTGTCGAATATATATATATATATATTCATACGATCGACTTTGAGTGCTGGTGTTGGCATTCAAGTTTACGACAGCCTGAGTATACAACGCCACACCTTTTCTAACGCCTGAAGCTTCCATCTCTTGCTTCCCTCGAATGCACTGATTTATTTGGCACTCTACCTGCGTTCAGTTGGGTCCATCCATCTGAACGGTTTACAAATAGGCTGTTTTCGGAGCGAAGTAGCTTCACCACTACGTCGTACTGAGGCTTCGTTGCCGCGCGACCGCCACCACTCGAGTGTGGGCTATGGGTACTGCGAGGTCTGCCAACCTACGCAGACTCGAACAGCCTATTTTTGGAGTAAAATCCAGATACCCGTAGCATTCCGTCACCGGTCGGTGAGGACATGGCTATGTGCAATTTACTGATGAATTAGCATTGCTCCCCAATTCGGCAAGTATCCAGTGCTAAAGAGCATTTGTGGCGCTATTGACTGCTACCGACACGTTACATCCGCAACGTCCAACGGAAATAGATGCATAGGACTGAATCATTCTAGGCCATAGGGACATCAGATTAGCTTTGTAGTGCACAAGTTTTATTGCATCCTTGGACTCTGGTTTCTTGTGTGTTGATTTATTTAAGTATTTTCACTATCCCGTTACCTTTTATTCTAAGCAACCTGATTTTCTTTCCTCAGTAGTCCTCACATGTAGACTGCCGGCTCTTGCGATCACTTTGCCCTGTAGCTGGATCCGCGGAAGGCGATTATCCACCGCCAGCCCTTACCATGATTGGAAATAGTGATGTGAAATGGAGCAACAAACGTACACGTAGCTGAGTCGCTATCGATGTCGCCAACCAGTAACATGCGAGAATGTGGACCAACCAATGAAAATTCTGACCCACTCAACCAGCCAGTCGACTATCCTCATGACCAGACAGCGTACCGGTTTCCATTAGATACACCAGAACTTATCTGAACGAAGAAGCTGACAGTCTTCTGTGAAGCTGGTCCCAGAATATGGGTCGCTACTTATCTTTTTTCGGTGGGCTTGTGAGTGGTCTACTGGAGTACGAGACGCAGAAGGTGGTTCAAATCCATTCAAAAAAGGTTGGCATTACCTTCCGTCTCATCCAACTGGGCATCATACTGTACGTGGTGTTGTGGGTCATGATTCATGAGAAGGGCTACCAGTCATTCGACAGTGCTGTAAGTGGAGTGACTGCGAAACTGAAAGGCATCGCTTTTGCAAACGTGTCCAATGATTCGGCTATTGGTGCCTCGGTTTGGGATGCAGCGGAGTATGTTATCCCACCTCAACAGAACTCCGCATTTTTTGTAATGACTAACTTGGTTTCAACACCTGGTCAGTCACTTGGTCGTTGTGAGGAATCACATGATGTGTACGGGAACAGTTGTGCAAACGACACTCAATGTCCTACGGGAACGTTAGTAATGGTTGGTAGTGGAGTTCGAACGGGCCGATGTGTGCCGTCCACAAGGCAAGCTGGTCTTAATGTGTGTGAGATCTATGGTTGGTGTCCCACAGAGCATGACATAACTCCCCGGCCACATTTGTTGGCTACTGCAGAAAATTTCACCGTTATTCTCAAAAACAGTATTGAGTTTCCCCGATATCGCGTTAAGCGCAGGAACATATTGCACTGGATGGATAAGCTGTTTTTGAAAACCTGCCGATATAACCCCTTTGATGATCGAATGCGGTACTGTCCAATCTTTCGACTGGGGGACATACTGAAGTATTCGGACGCGCACAACAAAGATATTTGGCAAAATGGTGGTATGGTTTCTATTCACATCGAATGGAATTGTAATTTGGATTTTCATGTGGACACATGTCTTCCTAAATATACCTTTCGTCGCCTAGACGATTTCGAAAGTCCCGTTGCCAAAGGGTGGAATTTTCGATTTAGTCAACACTATATGGTGAATGGAACACGGAGACGTAACTTGATCAAAGCTTATGGCATTCAATTCTTCATTACTGTATATGGAACTGGTGGAAAGTTTAATGTGTTAACATTTTCCATGAATCTCGGATCTGGTTTGGCGCTTCTAGGCATTGCTACTGTATTATGTGATATGATTGTGCTAAACGCCACTGGGAAACGGAACTTGTACCGAAAAGCAAAGGTGGACCTGATTGCTCAACGTAAAGCTACAAAGCGTCTGAATAAGCGGCTAGGTGAGGCCGAACGTAGACGGAATGATAGCAGCAAACCAGAGAGTGAGGAAAACAGAAGGAAGGATTCATCTACGGAGACTAAAGCAATTGAACTCAAAGAAAACGCTGAGACAAGGACGGTGAACTGCTGCCCGAAACGGCAGTCCCGATTTGATAAACCGCGGGTTCAGTCAACGCTAGTCGAGAGAATTGTATCAGAGCCATGTTGGCTTGACCGTACCTGTGGATCTAAAGCGCGAAAGAATGAAACCAGCGACCCTAATCATTTCCTTACAAAGCAACCCTGCCTCATTGATATTCGGCTGGAGAGAGCTCGCCCCAGAAGTCAGGAGCTGCCGCTCAGTCATGATCTATGGAACAAAACAAAGTCCGAGCTTAAAGCTGCAACATCCAGTCCCGGAGTCTCCTCATCCCCTGGTGGAATATTTGCCAAAACCGTTAAAGATCGGTATTTACCTGAGTCCATCTCGGTGCCATTCGTCCCACCCAGTATAAAATATTGAGTGAAAACTTTTAAATCCCAACATTATCATTTCCGATTCATGGTTCCTTCTGCCATCACGAAGTGGATATATCAGGTTTGTACCATGTTTATGTTCATAATCGAAAGCCTCCATACACCTGATAATTTTCTCATATTGTTATTAGAGACGTGTTTAGTCCTTATCAGCAATTATGTGAAATTCTATGATGGGTGCTTTTCTGGGAGATCGATAGACAACCATACTTTTTATAAAATTTAAAGTAGCTCAGGCATGTAATATCCCGGCTGGATAATCTGATTCTATTTTATCTTACGTGTTTTCTTTTACCGGGTAGCAAATATCAAGTGGAACATTCGGGGATAGGTGAAGTGCTAATTTAAAGCTGGCATTATGGGCACCATGTTATGTCAGGGTGATGCTGATCTGCCGGGTCATGTTGTCTAAGCAGGTTGGGCTCCAGTCGCCGAATGACGGACGCCTCAGTAAACACGAGGAAACGTTGAAGTATTTCGTGTGGTGAAAAATTCTTTGAGGGCTTTCGAACGTACTGCAGTCGAGTGGCCATCGAGAGACGGGAACCGGGAGCACTCATTGCTTGGTTCAGCGAGAATTTGTGTACCGTTGCATTGCAAGTGAGCTGTTATGGTGTATATGTTCAACGAGTGCTCGGTATCACATACATGCCGCTAGAAATATGAATATGTACAAACAAAGGAAGGAAGAGACCATTCGGCACCTCCGCGCGGTAGGTAAGCATTACAGCTCCGTCTTTCACTTTATTCTTTGTTATGAACGCATTTTCCCATTCTGACCTGTCGAAGATTAGACAGAACCGCTAATTAATCCGCTCTAGTTGAATAGTGTTATGACATATTAGGCTGCTCTTTCTTAAAAATGCCCTTTCCATATATATAGAAACGGAAACTACTTTCGCCTACCGCAGTAGAGACAACTAGGCGCAAATAATTTGCGTTCTCGGTTGATTTTGGAAGCGATAAACGTTTTCACTCAATCACAGCCTGTTCCTCATGATGTTTGGTGAATAGGCCATTATTAGTCAATTTTCATCATTCCACAAACATCCGTTATTCTACGCAGCTGGCGAACAAAACACTTGGATTCGACATCCACCAGGGGAGCAGGCATAATGCTCCGTTTGAGTTTACAAAGCATGTACATCTGCCTGGGCAGTGAACACGACTATAAAATTTAGCCAAGTAGAGGAATTAGCACAACTATTCGAGCAGTTTCTTGATGGAAAACATACCATTAGCGTAGTATTTTGTGATAGCAACGGCCCCAGTACCTGGCCCAATGGCTGAATACGACGCGGTTGAGGATGTTATTTGAACCTAGGGGATTAGTGGAAAGGCATCAAAAATAGGTTGGAACAAAATTTCTCGTTTCTAACTCCACGGCAACTCTGTTGCCTAAATACTATGGCAAGCTGTCAGAGAGTAATGCTCGTGTGGGTTTAAGCGAAGGCGAGCTTGTGCAGCACAGGTGAATAGAAATAGAGACCTTCGAGACGACTTCCAACTACCGGGCCGAAATCGATCCTGGATTTGCTGAGAAGTGTTAGCTCTTATACAATCCCAGTTGTGGTCGTTTACTGCGGCCTATATTGTAAACAGTGTATTCATTTTTACTTTAATTCATGGAGTAGGTTGGAACCTGTGGTCTGATCTACTGTGGATACGTTAGATGTACCGGTCATCAGATCACTGGCACTCTGTCATGCCCGCTCGTATCCATCTCGCATGATCCGAGTGCGTTCACTTTCCCAAGGACGCTTTGTTCACGAGGATCCAAGACATCTGTGCAAAGCGTTTCGTTTGAATGCTTTGTTAGGTTAACCCGTCCCGAAACTGAAGAGTAAACTCCGTACATTGTTTCGTCAGGAAGGACTATGACTCGCTTTACCACATGGATGTACCCGTTGTGTTGTCATAACGCCGTCAAATTCGGCGGGATTTGCTTTTCGAGCAGATACATACAGTCTCGTAAAATTAGGGGCAATGATAGTGTTACGTAGTTGTTCACAGTTCTGTGATTAATACATATTCCAGGAGAAGTTTGTAGCCTGTTACTAGAAAATATCTCGTAATCATCATTGGTAGTGGGCAGTACTTCCTTGTGCGTGCGAAGAAGAAACGTCACTGTATGTATACGCCACAACATTAGTGAAACATCACCGGTTGTGGCTTTAACTGGAAGCTCTCCCTTAACATAGAGCTAAATATCGGCCTGCCAGCTTTCACTTCCCCTATTCAACTGGCGCCAGAGGCGTTGGAATATTGTAACTGCATATCCTAGGTCTCTACTGCTCAGTTTACATTTCTATCTAGCATCTGAACGGCTGGAGCAACCAAAACACTACCGGCTGTGGGGGCTCTACGACAAACCCACAAGAGAAGTGTAAAGTCTGCCTATGAAGGTGCCCTCCATTCAGCTGGCTTGCCCTCACTCTCAGCTTCCTACGGTCATCCGTGATGTAGTAATGCAGTGGTCCTAGTTATTTAAAAATCTAGTCTGTGACCTCGACTCGCATAAAATGCAGGTCACTTTTTGGACATCGTGATGAGGCCAGCGATTCTAAGTATTGTTCAAATCATCCAATTGATAACTGTCCCATAAGCTGGTGGCTAAGAGTTGAGCGGTAGTAAGATTGAATCCCTTGGGAATTCAGAAGAATATACGTTGTGGACGAGTTCTAGTAGAACAAAATGGCTATTTAGCATCCTGCCGGCAAATAGACGTCTCATGGTTTAATCTAACCGCAATAACAGATCGCGTTTTTTTTGTTAAGGCTTCTTCCAAGTAGTTCACAAGCTACATAGTCGAGCCTAGTCTGGAAAAGCACCGGATGCGTTTCGCCCTATTGGGTCTCGTCAGTGATGCGCATGCCCTCGGTCCTCTAGAGAGGATCTCGTTTTACTGCAGCGGAGTCACTAAAAGGAATGATCGGTAGAAATGCATCAACCAACCAGTAAAACAACGAGTCACTCCTGGATTCTTACGCCCCTGTGAATGACTGGAGTTAATTAAATACGTAGAAAGTGAAGGGAACGAGTGATTATTCTGCGGTACTCTCTGGCTAATGATTTTCGAAGGTGAAACGATAAATAAATAAACATTTTATTCTCGACAGTTCGAGGCAAACCTTTACAGGCGTGATCACGTTAACTTAACGAAGCTTGGTTAAAAACTTACAAAAATACAGCTTTTATATAACGGTGAAGGTATGTGTATGGGTGTAGATACAAATGTAATCATTATGTATGTAGCTGTGTAATTGTGCTTGTACATGTCTTGCTGTCTTTTTGACTGTTTGATATCATCAGAAATATGAGAATAAAGGAATGACGTACGTGGATTGGATAGCATTATCCGGATATCCACAGGGCGGTGACTTTAGTTCGTGGTCAGTCACATCCGCCACGTCACAGTGTTGTTAAACGGACGTACATGGCTTTTTATGAGAAAAATGTTTGCTTGATTCTCTGTGTTCTGAGACGTTCATTACTGTGCACTTAGGCTGTCACCTCGATCGGTAGTGAGATTTCTGCGACTAAATTGCTCAGCTCAGGGAGGAAATTGGTAGCACAGTCTTCATTTATTCGCTCGTGACGGTAGTCAAATTAGTTATAGTGTCACAGTGCATCTACCACGGTGCTTTGGATTGCTGTCGCGTCTCTGTAGGGGACATTTAGAACTTGGCTGGGCGATGTCCATTGAAGCACGAAAGGTTATTGGACAAATTTCATGGTTACACCGATGCTTTGTTTGGTGCGACTGGCATTGTACAATGAACAATGAGTTTATAAGAGTTAAGGTCGCTTCACAAGCACCGTTATATGGTCTGTTTTCAAGAAAAGAACAGTGTCCATTATCATATCTCTAAAACCGCTTCTCTCATAGTCGAGGATAGAATTGTAGCTAGTTATTCGCTCTCAAAAGAAGGCTTTAATGTACTATACTCCGCACAATTTCATACCCACAATAGCTGTCAAATAACAAAATCCAACGTATTTCACAGGAGTAAAACCGAGCAATAGTGTTAAACGGCAAAGCCTAAGTAGCTGAGTACGTCGTCTAACCGTATTTTTACGGCCATTACCGGTACAGAAACAACCGATCCAAAGAGAACATGCCACGGGCGACATATACGAACAGAAAAGAAATTTCTGCGGCATTCCAAGCGGTTTTACTGTCCTTCCAGTTTCAAAGAGTGACTTCTCAAACAGCGGCTCACAAGATTTGCATCTTACAAAATCAAGTATGTCATTACCAGGTTGCTTCGTAATCCGCGATAAGGTCTGCTGAATACTCCCAACAGTTTCAGCCTCTGTCCGTATGGGAAATTGCGCATTCCAAAGACGTACTTGGAAGAAGTATGACGTTGAGGTTGCTCCATTTCATTGAAGTAATGTTTCAGCCATGGATGCCAGGCTTGAATTGCGTATTTGATATGGGTCAAACATACGCACTGATCATCTCCGGCAAATAAAGATAGCTATTTCTCCCAACGCCCGTCCCAGTATCCGACGCTTTGATTACCAGCTTTTGGTGTTTTTGGGGTTATCTGTAATGACTCAAGTCATCCTAGACCAGCACACGCTGGCAACGTACGGCGGAAGATCTCTTTAGTAATGTTCCAAGCCTGTAGGAGTAGTTACTCTGGTGTGGTATAGACAGTAGCCTGTTTTTGCGTACCCTGAATTGCAGTAGGCTGTGGGTTGGCCAATGATGGGCCATACATAGGTCACACCGAAGCAAATTCTGATCGGCATCCGTCTTAATCCCGCGTCGTATCTTGATGTCATGGGTGAACAGTATGAAACTTGAGGCGATGGTGTGTGCACGGTCAGTAATAAACAGTCGAAATAATCATGACCGTAGAACTGAGCCTTACGGCACCCAACACTCGAGTTGCATGGGGTCAGGTAAGTAGATCCGAACTCTGACCACTAATTGTTGATCCAGCTCAAGACACGGTCAGCGATGCCGTAGAAGTG